AAATTTCGTCGGAACGAAGTTACGGAAAATCAATTTACAAACGGAGACGTAACAATACAAACATGTATTTTTACAAGCTAATTTTTAATTTTAAGTTCGTTTCCAGTGCTTCATATGGTCTTATTAGTTGGCCTTTCCGCATTGCTTGAAAGGTTCTGGTTCACCAAGTTTTCAGAACCACATAAATAACCTTTTTTCTTCTTCCGTAAAACGATAAACATCATGAAGATGAAATAATTATGTGTACCTGTTATTTGTATTACTATTCTGAGATGTTTCGGGAAGTTTTGTAACTGCCAAATCGGAACGACTTATGGTATAGAAACACATGTATCAAGCAAACAGTAACAATAGTATGTGATCAAGAAAAATATTTTTCCGATATCAAAGTACTTTCTTGATCACATACTATTGTTACTGTTTGCTTGATACATGTGTTTTCTTGATCACATACTATTGTTACTGTTTGCTTGATACATGTGTTTCTAGTAGGCCTGGCATGGCCTGGTGATTAGGGCACTCGACTCACAAACTGAGGATCGCAGGTTCGAATCCTGTACCCAAACATGCTCACCCTTTCAGCTGTGGGGGCATTATAATGTGACGGCCAGTCCCACTATTAGTTGATAAAAGAGTAGCCCAAGAGTTGGCGGTGGGTGGTGTTGGCTAGTTGCCTTCCCTCTAGTCTATCATTGCTAAATTATGGACGGCTAACGTAGATAGCACTCGATTAGCTTTGTGCAAAATACAAAAACAAACAAACCGTTTCTAGAAAACGAGGTTTGATACAATTGTTTTTGATGAATTACAGTTACTACTAAACCATGATTTAACATTTCTACTTATTCTTCCAGATTTGTTAATATTTACAGTAGGTCTACTTTACAAACATTAAACAAGAAACTATCCAAAATGATAAGGTTACAGCGACCTCTTTACGGGCCGCTACGCTTCACAGACTTTGATGTCAATGTCAGTCTATCGAATAATAACAGGTATAGAGGTGATGTTAACTGTCGAATATATCTTCCGCTATGAAACTGGTACGTACTTTAGATATAAAAAAAAATCAACCAAAAACCGAAAGGGATGGGATTTTCACACGCGTGCATTTTTAAAGAAAAAAAACACGTTTTAACCAAGGAATGTGGTTAAAGAAAGGAAAAAATGATAATAGTCTTTCATTTTTTTTACCCTTTCACAGTTCAACTTATCTCTTCTATACGAAAAAATCCAAAGTTCTGATAAATATATTTCAACAGATCACGGTGAGATAAAAACTAAGAAGGTGATGACAATGTACTAAACCATTAATAAAGATGTCTGTATAAAAAAAATCCAACTAATACGTTGAAACACTATACACGTACAGCCATCTGGTGGCGTAAGCTGATTTCTATTTTTCGCTTGTAATTTGCAGGTTTTTTTTTGTTTCTTTTTTCACGGAGTAACAGATTCTTGCCAAATCTAATTATGTTTTAAAGAAATCTCCAGTTCCCAAGCCTCGAAATAGGCCTTACTTTGTATTTAAATAAATATCCATTTCTTGTATAAATGTTTCTGATAATTTGATTGTCAAAATGACTGCCGCTTTACATAGTGTGTTATCGTCCAGTGTCGAGATGATTTACCAAAATGATAACAGGGGACGCTACGAGAGACTGTTTGTTGAACTTCGAGGGTTATCTGTGCTAGCCGTACCTCATTTTGAAGTGATAAACAAGAGAGAAGGCAGCTAGTTAACATCACCCATCGCCAATTCGTGACCAATGAATAGTGGGATTGACCGTTGTATTATTACGTCCTCACGGTTGAAAGGGCGAACATGTTTCTATCCCACGATCCGCAGATTGCGAGTGAAATGCTCTGAACATCCGAGCCATTCCATGCCCCGCCTTCAGAGTGTGAGAACATTCTTATATAACTTTAAACTGAAATAAAAAGTTATTCAGCAGAGAACGTCACAAATCTAAAATAAGACAGCATAACTTTGAGTTAATAAAATATACTGTATATGTACTTTCAAGTTATTTAGTAGTCGTTGGAAAATGTAACTATTGTAATGGTTTTTAATGTTGGAAAATGTAACTACTGTAATGCTTTTTATTGTTGGAAAATGTAACTATTGTAATAGTTTTTATTGTTGGAAAATGTAACTATTGTAATGGTTTGTATTGTTGGAAAATGTAACTATGGTAATGGTTTTTATTGTTGGAAAATGTAACTATTGTAATGGTTTTTATTGATGGCTTCTGTCGATTTGTTCAGTAGAAAGAAGAATGAGAAAATCCAGTCTATTTATTTATAACAAGAATATTATATTTCTTCGACTACAAGTTCAACTTTTTACAAGTTCCACAGTTTAATGTAAGTTCATGAATAAACAACGCTTAAACAGAAATATCACTAAATAAAGAATTTTCTCTTATACTTCATCGCAAATTTACTGCACTGAAGAAACTAACTGGTTGATAGGAAAAGAAAAAATGACTAAATTAAGCAATGAGTTTTCGTTACCTGACTAACAGACTTTCTAAATCAACCATTAATAATCTGACCCACTCACTCTAGCCGAAGTATCTTTAGTCTGACCATATAGTAGAGTTTAATTGTTACTATTATAACGCACCCACGACTGAAAATGCGAAGCTTTTTTTTCGACAGCGGGACGCAAACCATGAACCCATTTTAATGTGTTTAGTTTTATTCAATGTTAATTACATATATCATTAAAACCCTTTATATATGTGTGTGGGATCAAATAATGTGTTGGTTTGTTTGTAGTTAAGCACAAACCTACACAATGGGTTATCTGTGCTGTGCCCACCACGGTTATCGAAACCCGGATTCTAGCGTTATAGGTCCGCAGACTTATCACTGAGCTAATGGGGGCGTGACCATAAAATGATAGAAGTTGAAAGATCGGGTTTCTGATAATTTGATTGTTAAACTGAGTATCGTTTTCAATAGTGTATGCTATTGTGCAGCGTCGAGATGATTTACCACAATGATAACAGGGGACGTTATTGTGTTCTAGATCTTTGGAAAACATTCAGCACATTAAGCCACGCGCTCATCTATGTCGTGAAACCTCCTTCTGATGAAACAACATTACAAACGTCAAAATTACCGCCCAGCATAAAACAGTACATACATACACTCACATGCGCACACATCCCGTAGTTTTGTTTTGTTTTATTAAGTAAATACTGTGAATGTGTTCTTCTGTAACTGTTACAAAGAGCAATAGTTCAGAGGTCAAGTAAATACTGTGAATGTGTTCTTCTGTAACTGTTACAAAGAGCAAGAGTTCAGAGATCAAGTAAATACTGTGAGTGTGTGCTTCTGTAACTGTTACAAAGAGCAATAGTTCAGAGGTCAAATAAATACTGTGAATGTGTGTTTCTGGAACTGTTACAAAGAGCAATAGTTCAGAGGTCAGGTAAATACTATGAATGTGTGTTTCTGGAACTGTTACAAAGAGCAAGAGTTCAGAGGTCAAGTAAATACTGTGAATGTGTGCTTCTGTAACTGTTACAAAGAGCAAGAGTTCAGAGGTCACTTGTGAAAGTAATCGGCTATTTCAGTTTTTATGACACATTATGAGAGGACAGGGTAAAGTAAATCTAGAAACAACTGTAATACATGAGTAGTGTTAGTTACTTAATGAAAAACCAACACAAACTACCAGAGATCGAAGCGGATGGAGGGCCATGATAGTCAATATTTGTAACAGAGACGGTATATAGCAAGCATGGATGGAGAGCCATGAGAGTCAATATCTGTAACAGAGGAGGGATATAGCAAGCATGGATGAAGGCCATGATAGTCAATATCTGTAACCAGAGACGGTATATAGCAAACATGGATGAAGGCCATGATAGTCAATATCTGTAACAGAGACGGTATATAGCAAACATGGATGAAAGGCCATGATAGTCAATATCTGTAACAGAGAAGGCATATAGCAAGCATGGATGAAGGGCCATGATAGTCAATATCTGTAACAGAGAAGGCATATAGCAAGCATGGGTGAAGGGCCATGACAGTCAATATCTGTAATAGAGAAAGCATATAGCAAGCATGGATGAAGGGCCATGACAGTCAATATCTGTAACAGAGAAGGCCTATTTACATAAGGCAGGGATTGAATTATTTATGTACATTAGATGAGAACAAATTCATATAAGTATGTGTGAGTTGAAAAATTCAATCAAATAAATAAATTACGTGCAACATTTAAAGGGATTGTTTGTTTGTTTAAAACTTTCGCGCAAAGCTACAGAAGAGCTATCTATGAATAGCCGTTTCTAATTCTCAAATGATAAACTAGAGGAAAGGCAGCTAGTAAACAGCACCCACCGCCAACTCTTGGGCTACCCCTGTCTCACCTACTAGAGAGATTTGACTGTCATTCTTATAGCGCACCTGCCGCTTCAGAAATGCGAAACGGTTTTTTGGGCAACGACGAAGTGTCAATCACGAACCCTCGAATTCAGAAAACGGAAACCCTAATTATTCGACCATGCCTGCCCCCTACATAATTTTATGTGTATACCAGACATGAAATTGTTAATTCAAGCAAATTTTTTCGTCCTGTTACCTGAGTCGCACACACACACAAGACTGCTTGCTTGCTATATATCTTATTAAGTTATTCATGTAAAATATTGTGTGTTATTAAGTTATTCATGTAAAATATTGTGTTATTAAGTTATTCAGGTAAAATATTGTGTTTTATTAAGTTATTCAGCTAAAATATTGTGTCTTATTAAGTTATTCATGTAAAATATTGTATCTTATTAAGTTATTCATGTAAAATATTGTGTCTTATTAAGTTATTCATGTAAAATATTGTATCTTATTAAGTTATTCATGTATGTAACGAGGTCATTTTTGGAAACTTGTAATGTTTAGGTGTATGAACTTTCCACATAAAAGGAGATCAAAATAAGGTGTGTTAATGTTTTAGAAAATAGTTGCTTTTAAATGTTTTATTTAAATACCTATAAATATTGATACATGAATAATTTTATGTTCGTACATGTATACATTTTACATTCTTCAAGTTCATTGGCTGCTCAGTTAGCTAGAATAACTAGACTTATAAGAGACTTAACATTAATTCATCAACTAACAAAAAAAAGGAAGAAGAAAAAACCGACATTGTAGCCGAAGATATTTAAAGAATTTTATAACGCACCCTGGAGGCTAGTTAGTGACCTTCTGCTAACCCCTGCTGACTAGAGTATGTGATGAGCTTGACACTGGTTAATCTTATTAAGTTATTCATGTAAAATATTGTTACAATATTTTACATGAATAACTTAATAACATACAATATTATACCTGAATAACTTAATAAGATACAATATTTTACATGAATAAATTAATAAGATACAATATTTTACATGAATAACTTAATAAGATACAATATTTTACATGAATAACTTAATAAGATACAATATTTTACATGAATAACTTAATAAGACACAATATTTTACATGAATAACTTAATAAAATACAATATTTTACATGAATAACTTAATAAGACACACTATTTTAGCTGAATAACTTAATAAGACACAATATTTTACATGAATAACTTAATAAGATACAATATTTTACACGAATAACTTAATAAGATACAATATCTTACACGAATAACTTAATAAGAC